TCTCGCCTCAGTGAAGCGGACCCTCGTCGCTATTTGCCGCCGCACGCTATCCAAAACACTGATACTAACACTAATACTAATGAAACAAGGTAGACAAGGGGAAACACTCGACTCCCTACTAACCTTCTATCAGTGTTGTAAATAGCGCTCGCCTCAGCGCTAATAGCGTGAGGCATAGCGATGCGAGCCTCCATCGCTTTTCTGTTGTGTTGCATTGCGTTTTACAAATAACGCTCACCTCTGCCTGTGTAGGGAGAGGCGACTGTAGCGTCGTTTTTTTTTAAAAAAAAACAGCGCAGGGATTAAAGAAAACGACTCGCGATTAGGGCTTTGAGCTTTCAGACATTTCCCTTTTCTTCACGCTTCAAACAGCAGAGCAGCCACATCGATTTCTTTCTCCAGCCATAGCCACAGTGGTCGACCCAGCCACATCTCGAGTTTCTGCCATTTTCTTCTTCATCCAATTCGACCCACCTATGTTTCTCTTCTTTTTCGAGTTTCCTTTTTTTTTCTTCTTTCTCCTTTCTTTCTTTCTTCCTTTTTCTTCTTCTTCCCTTCTTTTTGGCTCTGTTTTTTATCGAGCAGCAGTCAACAGAACAGAGTCTGTTTTTGCTATGTTTTTTCTTCCTTTTTCTTCTTCTTCTTCTCTTCTTTTTTTCTTTTGCTCTGTTTTTTATCGAGCAGCACCCTGTTTTTGCTCTGTTCTGATTTCTGTCTTTCTTTTTGTTCTTCAGTTCTTCTTTTTCTTCTTTCTTTTTTTGCTCTGTTTTTTGTTTTACAATTCCTTCACAGCTTCACTTTGGGCTGAGGCAGAGAGCTTTATTTCAAACATGAAGAAGAATAGATGTTGCTTGTTTTAGTTTATGAATCTACTATGACTATGTATTGAGTTTTTAATTTTTGAATTGATATATTTATTAATATATTATTGATGTTGAGTTTTTAGTTAGTATTTTTTGTATAAATTGTCGCTTCACATCAAAAAGGCGAGCGCTTCGCTTCTCGCCTCAATGAAGCGGGCCCTCGTCGCTATTTGTCGCCGCACGCTATTCAAAACATTGCCTTCTATCCTAATTCTCAACCTCCACACCCTCGTATCAAGGGTCATGTCCTCGGTTAGCTCAAGTTGCGCCATGTCCTGCCTGATTACCTCTCCCCAAAACTTCTTTGGCCTACCTCTACCCCTCTTCTGACCCCCCAAGGACAACCTCTCACACCTAATGACTGGGGCATCTGTGCTTCTCCTTTTAACATGTCTGAACCATCAAAGTCTCGCCTCTCGCATCTTATCCTCCACGGGGGCCACTCTCACCTTATCCCTAATAACTTCGTTCCTAATTTTATCTAACCTAGTAAGCCCACACATCCATCTCAACATCCTCATTTCAGCAACTTTCATCTTCTGGACATGGGAGTTTCTTGACTTGCCAACATTCTGCCCCATATAACATAGTCGGTCTAACCACTACTTTGTAGAACTTACCTTTAAGTCTCAATGGCACATTCTTATCGCACAAGACACCGGAAGCGAGCCTCCACTTCATCCACCCCGCTCCAATACGATGTGTGACATCCTCATCAATTTTTCCATCACTCTGAATCACAGACCCCAAATACTTGAAACTCTCTTTCCTAGGAATGACTTGAGTATCAAGCCTCACATCCACGTACGCTTCCTGGATAACGCCGCTGAACTTGCACTCCAAGTATTTTGTCTTGGTCCTGCTCAACTTGAAACCTTTAGACTCAAGGGTATGTCTCCAGACCTCCAGCCTCTCGTTAACACCAACCCGCGTCTTATCAATCAGAACTATATCCTCTACAAATAACATACACTAGGGCACCTCTCCTTGGATGTGTAGCGTCAATGCATCATCGCTAAGGAAAATAAAAACAGGCTAAGTGTTGATCCCTGATGCAACCCCATCTCAACTGGAAAGTACTCTGAGTTTCCTCCTGCTGTCCTTACCCGTGTCTTAGCTCCCTCATACATGTCCTTGACCGCTCTAATATAGGCTACAGGCACTCATTTAGCCTCCAAACATCTCCATAGGGCCTCTCGTTAGACTTTATCGTAAGCTTTCTCTAGGTCAATGAACACCATATGCAAGTCCTTTTTCATCGCCATGTATTGCTCCACCAACCTCCTCACAAAGTGAATGGCTTCCGTAGTCGACCGTCCCGGCATGAAACCAAACTGGTTGTCGGAAATGGACACACTCCTCATCCTCCCTTCTATCACCCTCTCCCAAACTTTCATCGTATGGCTTAGCAACTTGATACCCCTATAGTTGTTGCAGTTTTGGATATCCCCATCATCGTACTCCACCTCCACTCCTCGGGCATTTTCTTCGTCCTAAAAATGATGTTAAACAACCTAGAGAGTCATTCCAAGCTTGCCATACCCCCGCTCATCTAGAATTCAACAGGGATCTCGTCTGGCTCGATCGCTCTACCCCTACTCATTCTGTGCATAGCCCCTTCGACCTCCCCCACTCTTATGCGTCTACAGTACCCAAAATCTCGATGTCGCTCCGAGTACTCCAAATCGCCCAACACAATACTCATATCTCCCTCTTCATTCAAGAGTTTATGGAAGTAAGACTGCCATCTTCGCCTGATCTGTACCTCCTCCAACAAAACTATACCTTCCTCGTCTTTTATGCACCTTATTTGGTCCAAATCACGGGCCTTTCTTTCTCTCACTTTGGCTAGCATGTACTGCTTCTTGTCCCCGCCTTTGTCTCCAAGTTCTTCATATAAACGACCGAACGCCGCGGTCTTAGCCGCAGTAACCTCTAACTTCGCCTCCTTCTTAGCTTTCTTATACCATTCTCTGTTTGCCTTCTTCTCCACCTCGTCTATGCTCTCTACAAGCTTCAAACATGCCGCTTTCTTAGCTTTTTTCCCTTGAACATCTTCGTTCCACCACCAATCCCCTTTATGGCCACCAGAGAAACCCTTCGAGACCCCTAACACTTCTCTTGCCGCCTCTCTAATACAATTCGTTGTCATAGTCAACAGCTACAACACTAATTTTCTTTTTTCTAATGAGAAAGTACAACACCATTTTTCTCCGCATAAGAAAAATAGCATCTCCACCTGTAACAGTAAACTGACAAAACATTGTGCACCGCGAGTTCTCAAATCAGGTCACAAGAAAGAGGATAACTTGTGTAACAGTAAACTGACAAAACATTGTGCACCGCGAGTTCTCAAATCAGGTCACAAGAAAGAGGATAACTTGTGACACAGTTAGTTGTTTGTGGAGAGAATAGAAAGAAAATAGAGAAAAGACCTCTTTGTTACACTTGGCCAACAATGAAGCACCCGAAATAACCACCAATAAAAAAATTCTGAGTCAACCATAATATTCTTTGAGTACCTCACGGTGTTCCTTCCTAGTAGAAGTCAGCAAACAACACTTCAGTTAATGACTCCTAGGAGTACTACGGCATAAGCAAGCAAATTTAAAATTACTCTGGAATAGCATTTCAATGCATTTTCTCCATGTGGCACTTAGGGGAAAGAACAAGAAGACCCAAACCAAGTAACTCTTTCACTTGTCATGTGATAGGCTGATAGTCAGGAAAGGGACTGACAAGAAGACACTGACATCCATATCTTGATTACCATTTATTATCAGGTTAGCATGACAAATTCCTACAAATAAAATGCAACCCTTATTTTTTTGCAATTTTTCACGAAATTCTACTGGAAAGTTAAATGCAAAATGTGAAATTTCTTCACATCTGGAACTACAAAGAAAAAGCATGATGGACAATTAAGAATTAACGTTGCCTGACCTGAATACTCTGATATGATACACTAACACTAAAATAAATGCAAGTATATTCAAACAAAAAATAATCATAGAGCAGAAGTAAATACGAAGTTTAGATAAGGATCCAAAGTTAGTTCTCACAGTATGGAAGTAGCGATTGGATGGCATTCAACAGCACCGGAGCAACCTCTTTGA